TTATGGATATTCATTTTGATGTTTGGGATTTATTCAGAATACCTCATTACCTAGTCATATATGGTTAGTTACTTTCATTAATTATTATACTAGATTAACATAGATTTATATGTTGCAAGCAAAAAATGATGTGTTCTCATATTTTCAATCATTTCATAAAATTATATTTATACAGTTTAATACTAAACTTAAATTCTACGAACAGACAATGGTACAAATTATATGAATGGTCAATTCCGTGCCTACTTAGAATCTAATGGCATAATCCATCAAATGAGTTATGCCTACACCAATGAATAAAATGGTGTTGCTGAAAGAAAAAATATACACATATTGGACGTAGTTCGATCTCTTATGTTCACTATAAATTTACCCAAAAATTACTGGGGAAATGCAGTTCTTATAACTATTTACCTTATCAACAGAATGCCTTTAAGAGCTCTCGATTCTAGAAGTCTTTTAAAAGTTTTACAAGAGAAAAAGTTCATATATTGTTCCCCAAAAAGTGCTTGGATGTGTTTGTTTTCTCCATAATAGAAATGTGGGCAAGTTAGAACCCAAGACCTGTAAATGTGTATTTGTTGCATAACCTCCTGCTCAGAAAAGTTACAAATGTTATTATACTCTATCTATAAGATACTTTGTCACTATGGATGTTACTTTTAGGAAATCTGAATCTTATCTCAATCCAAACCCAATACCTCTACACGGGGAGAGTAAAAAAGAAGAGGTTATACCTAGTTTGTTAACTCTTGACAGTTATATTCAAATGGAGAATTCTAGTTCGGAAGGTCTCCCTCAAGGAGATAATGTAAGGCGACTGGATAAACCAAACTTGAAGTGGTATTCAAGGAAGAATAAGACAAAAAAAAACCGTTGGTGAAGTCTGACATATATAAAAAATCTTTCTCAATTCCTGAAAATATTGGCAAGTTGCTTTTATTTTATGACTTATTTTATGATGTGGGTAAACTCATTACTCTTAGAAAAAGAATCAAGTCTTACATTAAATATTCTATGTCTAATTTTGTTTATTATGACTTTCTATCTCCCCTTATAGAGTCTTTGTATTTCTTCTGTATTTATTCCACATGATTGAAGAGAAGGTCTACGAGATCTCAAATGAAAGGAAGTCGTGATTAAAGAAATAAAAACTTTGATAAAGAATGAAACCTAAGAGCTTATTTCATCTCCACTAGGAAAAATGATAGTTGATTTTAAATAGGTATTTACCGTAAAAACACAAAGTAGACGAGTCGATTGAAAGGTACAAAACTAGATTGATGACTAAAAAGTTTACTCAAACATGGAGTTGATTATCAGGAAACTTTTGCATCAATCGTGAAGATAAACACAATCAGAATACTATTATCTTGTGCAGTTAATCTTAATTGAGACTTACAACAGTTTGATGTGAAAAATACCTTCATCCATAGAGACTTTGAGGAATGGTTTTACATAAAAATTCTCCCTGTATTTGAAGATGAAAGAACACAAGTGAAAATTTACAAAATTAAAAAAGCCTTATACAGGTTGAAACAGTCTCCAAGAGTATAATTTGAAAGGTTTACAAGAGTTATAATCTCTTTTAGATATCAACAAACCAATATTGATCATATCCTATTTATTAAATAGCATGAGGGTAAATTCACTCTTCTCATTATTTATATAAACGATATTGTGGTGACTGAAGATGATACAAAACAGATGACTCAATTGAAAAAACTTCTTACTCAAGAATTTGAAATAAAAGATCTAAAAAAATTGCAATACTTCTTGGAAATTGAATTTGTCATATCTAATAAAAGGATCTTCATTTATCAAAGAAAGTACATCTTACACTTACTAGAAGAGACTCGTATGATGGGTTGCAAACCCACAAAATCTCCCATTGAAAGCAATCACAAATTACAAGCGGGTGATGGTACATCAGTTGACTTGAAAAGATATTAGAGATTGGTTGGAATACTCATCTATCTCTTACATACCAAATCTGATATAGCATATGCAATTAGCCTGGTGAGTTAGTACATGCATGATTCTCGTGAGACTTACTTACATACCCATTTTCACATATTATGATAACTGAAATCTGCACCAGAAAAAAGTTTGTTTTTCTCCCAAAATAGCCACTTCAAGATAGAAATATTTACAGATGTCGATTGAGCTGGATCTCCGAATGATAGAAGGTCATCTACCGGTTATTGCATACTCGTAGTAGGCAACTTGGTTACACGGAAAAATAAGAAGTAAAGTGTAGTTGTCTACTTCAGTGCTGAAGTAGAATATAGAGTAATGGCTCAAGGAGTATACAAATTATTATGCTTGCAAAAACTAATGAGAGAATTAAAACTGTTTAAAGAAGAAAGTTTATCATTATTTTGTGATAATAAAACAACCATTAACACTACCTATAATTCAGTTCAACATGACCGCACAAAACACATAAATATTAATCGACATTTTATAAAAAAGAAAGTGGTTGATGACTCCTTATACTTATAGCATGTGTCTTCTAACGATCAAGTGGCAGATATTTTCACTAAGAAATTTGCAACAAATCTCTTCATAACTTGCTCAACAAGTTGGACATGTGTAATATTTTTACATCAACTTGAGGGAGAGTGTTGAGTAAAATATTTTATTAAAAAATTAGTTGAGATAATGTAATTAAAATTTTACTAGAATTTCCTTATCAGTAGGTTATGAATTCTCTATATATACCCTAAGTATAAGAACATAAAGTGTGTCATAAATAAAAAAAAAGAATATTTTTCTCCAAAAATCTACACTATAGAACTTGGAATCTTTCGGCCTGTTTACTTGTAAATCCCTATTTGATCACCTCTCTAACCCGATACACATGTCTCTCCCTATGACACACTTGCCATTGCACACCAGAAATATATTGCCGAAGGTTTTTGGAACGCTCGTGTTCCTTCTAAGGTGAAGCTCTTTGTTTTAGACTGTTACTTGCCAAAAGTTAAACACAAATAACTTGCTTCAACTTTGCAGTTTATATCGATTTCTTTCTTCAGATATTTGTGCAATGTGCATTAGAGGAGAAAGACATGAATAATTTGTTTCTTCATGGTGAGGTAGCATGGAAATTGCGGACTAATGTTTCAATATGTCTGTGACATATACAGGATGAAAGATTTTAAGAAATGTCATTGAAATGATTACACTACTAAGTAAATCTTTTTGTATATGAGTGGCACTCCCTTGGT